CGGGAGCATTTCGAAACACTCAATGTGTGATCAGATTGCGGTTTCCAATCCCAATGTCAGCTGTGATTAACCTGGGTACCTGATTGTGGCACGGGCCAAACAAAGAAAGAGATGTTGTGGTAGCATCGATAGTAACGTGCAAGTGGGTGGGATGCATAAGTTCGTTTAAACAGTGCGCCGACACGCCTACTTACCGATACACATTGTTTACAGAATCCAGTTTAGCCGATACTACTTGATGCGAACCATCTGACACGTCGTTCTATGATGGTTTTCCCCATTAAGCCTCGACAAATGAGGATTTGAAACTGATGAGGAACAATCCGGTGAAGACACATTTATGTTTGCCCAAAATGTATATTGATTTCTCTGTGGACACGTGTGTATCCTAAACTAAGTCCTCCAGTAGAACGCTTCACTGAAATACGCAGTTTAATAATGTTACTGATCCCAAGTCCCTCATGATTATTCTGTGGTGTGTTGACTAATGATCAAAAATCGATTTCTATAAAAATTCGGGATATGCATGCATTTCGTATTGTCTCCTCAGTACCATTAACAATAACCGGTGATAGACTTTGCTACATTTAATAGTTTGAAGCCCAGTGGTAGCACTATTCCACAGTTGTATGGGTCCCCAAAGACACTTAAGGGTGAAGTGCCACTCAGGCCAATCCTTTCAATGATGAACGCGCCCCAGCACAAACTCGCTCGTTGGTTAGTGAAGTTGCTCGCTCCGCTGAAACCACAGTTCGATCCGTACAGTCTTAAAGACTCCTTTCAACTCATTGATGATCTGGATGAACTCCACCTGTCAGACAAAGTTATATGTTCCTTGGATGTAGAATCCTTATTTACCAACGTGCCGCTACATCAGACGGTTGATTACGTGTGCGAATTAGCTGAAAACGGTGGCTGTTCGCTACCAATTCCGACTGAATTGCTAAGAGAATCTCTACTATTGTGCACGGAGAATGTGGATTTTCATTTCCGGAATACACCATACCGTCAGATTGACGGCGTAGCAATGGGTAGCCCATTAGGTCCTGTGCTCGCTGATTTCTTCATGTTGATGGTAGAAAGAAGCATTTCTACAGAAATAGCCCAGGTGCCATACTACAAAAGATATGGGGATGATATCTTGGATTTCTGTTCATCGGAGCAGCAGCTCACACATTTGGTAGAACGGCTCAATGATGCTCATGCTAACTTACGGGTTACATGTGAAATAGAACAAAACAATTGTCTGCCATACCTGGACATACTCATAACTCGCAGGGAGGATGGATTGATTAAGAGGTCAATTTACCGAAAATCAACTTGGTCCGGTCAGTACCTGCACTTCACCAGCTTCACACCAGTGCGGTACAAACGGACACTTGTGAAGACTCTAGTTAGTCGTGCCAGACGAATTTGTTCGGCCGACTGTCTGGACGATGAGCTAGTGTTAATTACAGCAACACTAATGGCGAATGGCTACCCTCGAAGATTTATCGAGAAACACAGCCAACCGCGAGGACCAAAGGACTTGGTGCACACGGCAGCCAAGAAGAAAGTGTGTATCGAGTTACCTTTCAAAGGTGACTTAGCCACGCTGAAGACAACTAGGCGTATAATTTCTGCTACACAAGGAAGTTACTATGCTACACAAGTTGTCGTTGTCAACCGAACCCGAAATTTGCCCATACCTCCAACGAAGGAAGCTCAGCCTATTGGGGCCACCTCACGCTGTGTATACCAATTTGTATGTGACTGCGGAAAAGTTACATAGGCAGAACCAATAGAACGCTGACTTCCCGAATAAAGGAACATGTGCCAAGATGGGTTCAACGTGAATTTGCTCAGATTGCCTACCCTCGTCAGATTCCATGTTCGCGCAGACCGCCGGCTTCCTCGATAGGCAGACACCTATTAGACTAGGGTCACCAATTTGAGCTGGGCTCAGCGTTTAAAGTTGTGTTACGTCACACTAATCCCCGCTTCCTTCGGTTTGCCGAGGCTGTCGCAATTAGCCGGATTCAGCCAGCCTTGTGTGTTCAGAAACAATTATTTGTCAGCCTAAAGCTGCCTTGGACGTAGGTGTGAACTTCCGTCATTCATTTTGCATCTTAAGCTTGTCTGGTTGCATCCACTGTTAGCTATATCTATGCTTACCGGTTATTGTTAATGGTACTGAGGAGACAATACGAAATGCGTGCATCTACCAGCCTTCGTCTTCTTTCCGTGCTTTTCAAATTGTTGAAGGGAACTAACTGCTTTAAAATTCGGGATATCTCCGCGTCAACTTCCAAAACAGTTAGTCCTCTCAATGCTGTGTCGTACGTAGTTGGTGTTAGTGGAAGTCGTGTCACTCGGAGATACCCCTGTTCACTGCAACGTTTGTGACTTGCATGGTAGAGGAGGATGAATCGATATCGTATTACAGTTAACTCATAAATCATGACAGCCTACCGCTGTTACTCATGGTATATTGGCATATACTACTGGTAAGCAGTGCAACCCGCTAGTGCTCATAGAATCCGGTAGATTCGTACTAATGACGAGCCTCGACGGAGCGAAACGTCCATCTGGTGCTTTTCTTGGCATGTAGAGGTTTACATGATTTGGAAGCTGCTGCAAACAAACCCAAATTTGTTACATGAAAAACCCCTACTTCTGAGTACATGAATAACAGAAAGCCTTCATTGTTAAATTCAGCGTATGGAATCCTAGGTCTGTATTAAGAAAACAAGGATAATAGCTGCAGGACGCTGCGGTCCACCGTAACCACCGCCCCGGACCTCGCGCTATTGACCTAAGGATGTGTGCACTGTCCATCGGGTTGCGGTCGTTTCCATGTTTATCTGGCTGAGCGCCTGTTGGATTTTCCATACCTATAGTATAAAACCGCCGTGGCAAGGAGGATCGTAGTGATTCGGGCACAAGAAAGAGCGGTTCTTGATGGGTTGTTTGGGAGTCCCCATTGTGTAAGCCGAATGCAGCAGGCAATCTGAAGCTGGACAGCGGTTCATTTTTAAGAGGACCTTCATCAATTCGGTCCCTGTGATCATATCTGAATTAGTAAGCGTTTGGCATCATCTGCGCATGAAATCGAAATTCGTAACCAGCTTTGTGCATGTTTGAACTCGTTAGGAGAAGGTAGCAGGACTGCGATTCGAACTGGGGGTGCGGGGACAACCAGACGAAGATCTTAGCCCCACACCAGTGATCCATGGCCAACGCATGTCACAGTGCTTAACTGTGCATTGCTGGTTGCTTCCAAATGTTATAAGAGTAAAACCTGATCATGGAGTTGTTGTAGACCCCTTCGTTAAACGAACCCAGTGACTCTCACTTGGTGTCGTCAACACGCGTCGAGTGGACGGTTATACAATTCGAACCGATTATACCCACTCCCTTCCTTGAAAGCTAGGCTGCCAACTGAGTGGCGCACGGCGCGAGACGAATGCACCTGTACGATCGCACCACGGACAAGAGAGGAAGAAACAAGACTTTCGCACGAGCGTTTTACTGACCCAGCAAAAGAAGACAGTCGAGACAGTCTAATGCCTATAGCACAAGAACACTACGTCGGAACTGTTTTGGCGTGAGGAGGTTGCGTACGTAAACACAGTGTGTTAAATTTTTCCGCCGAGGAGCCAGCTAGTATACAGGGATTTACTAAGGGATTCAGCAGTAAAGATGCACGCGACCTATATTACTCATGAGATTGATTTGGATAACATCGCGATTATTAGGGTAGGGCTGCGAGCCACATCACAAACGTTGACTGCTGAGGCGATTCAGATTGGAAAGATGAACAGCTGCGTGAACCGAATGAGCAGGATGGAGGTTTTAAACTTGTGGCGTACTGTCTTAACCCGGACAGTCGGAGAAGCGTCGGTGGATTGATCCGGGACAGAGATTGATCCCACACTCATCACTGACGGGCTTACGGCTGTGACCATGCAACTCGGGTCAGTTGGGACCGTTCCAGGTACTACTTGGAGTGACACTGTGATCTGTAACGCGATTAACCTTCCACCTACATCCCAGTCGTCGTGACTATCCTCCCAGTTTGCTGTAAGTGCTATACCAATCGCCCACTGGTTCACTCGGTCTGAGAACTGAGAACTGGTGGGAAGCAGCGTGTAGAGGTTGCTCTGTGTAGCTGCATCATTCGTCATTTTCGGACATGAACTCTTTATTTATCGTTTCGCTGTCTGTACTTTGCTTCTGCAAATTGTTTGTCTAGTAGCATCATGAATTTAGATACTGTGTTGGCTTCTACTTTATGCTGAGGCAGGTCGTTTCAGACATTCACCACTCTACGTTCGAAACAGAGTTGATGGGCGACCCGCTTCAAATGTGAAACGTTGCCTACAAACTATATCAACCAAACGCTCTCAAATCCATCTGAAATCATGAGTTCTCAATGGGTTCCAAGCAATTTTCATCATTTTGTATGCTGCATTGTGGTTTGAAAGTTGCGTGTTCTCACTGCGAGTGCCTCGCGGTGCAGTCCGCCTATTGCCCATGCGAGTATTGAAGCCTGTGTCGAGTAAGCACCTGACGTTGCCGCAACGGGAGCGCAGCGTTACAAGTCGGTAATGCCTACTAGAGAGTTTCCCTCTTCCTAATTATTGGCAAGATATGTGTATTGGTCTTTCTCACCCAGAAGTAAGGGATGTAAGAGCTAAATCTGTTATCAACGACCGTAGCCTCCGGCGGCGTATACCCTGCGGTCAGGATTCAGAATGATATCCCAGTGGGATAGTTTCTGCTACACTCACTCTGCGACCATGTTAGGATAGGTAAACCGTGGGTGAACATGAATGATCTTATGTGGTGAGTGCGGACAGAACTCCGCAGCTTAACTATTGGGCTGGTATGGTGGTACGAAGATGGAAACGAAATTCTGTCGCACACAGAGTCGCTGTTCTTGTGCTTGCCTTCACCCGCACATGAAGGTCCGAAGCATAAGTTCAGAACTTGGACAACGAAGACCAGTTGCAGTGACTCATGGGTCTGCCTCTTTCTGACTTCTTGATTTGATGCTACTACATGTAAGGGAAGGATTGGCATCCCAGTTAAAAAATGGTTAATAAGGAAAGAAGGTGACGCTCGCATCAGTGCAACGAAGAAGCTGCACTCCTCGTTATTTGGAAACATTGTGTACAATTCTCTTTGGTAACCGGGTTTAATCAAGGTCGGCGAGCACATTTCTAGTCCGATGGATACTCTCGATCGTTGGGTGGCTTGGCGAGGAATCAGGACACCGATTTCCAACTGGAAAAGAAAAGTAGGAGAGGGAAATGTATCTGTTGTGCTTTTTGACAGAAGTTCATTAAACGAAAGGTTGTGAAAAGCAAGTAGTGTGTCCGATAGTGCAATTCAAATGCATTTGCATCTTCGTTAGTCCTTTGGTAAGTAACTAGCTAGTAAGAGCGTGATGATGCTGAGGTTAACTCAAACAAGTGTGAACGTCTGAGGGCCACCAACCTCTGCCCAATACTGCTGAACGTGTTTGCCTATTGGTTCATAGTTTATTGAGTGAGAGACTGAGATCCCATTCTGCAGCGATTATGTAGAAAGCTGCAAATTATCACATTGGCAACACATCAGCCAAGCAGTATACCTGCTTGAAGATATGCCAGATATTGCCCACTTGCTCACAATGCTGCGTTCCACGACCAATTTCGTGCTTCGTTGCACTTGCTAGGTAAAGATAGCAGGACTGCAATGCAAATCCTGGATGTTCGCCGGATACACTACAGCCAATCCGCTGAGTATCATGTCCAGCTTTCTGACCGAAGGGATGTTTAATCACACGTCTCTAATCAGCAAGAGCGCAAAACTTACGCTTCTCGATGGGAATGTGAATCTTCAGCTACCACTGCCAAAAATAACAGTAGTAGGTTGCTAAATGTGTCCGAGCTAAAGATATTCTCAGTTGGAACAGTTAGTTCGCTTTGGCAGTTTGAATAAAGCAGTGAGAAGACGAAAAATAGCATTGTTAACCTTTTGTATTGTCACTTCAGTGACAATAAAATAACAGGAAAAATATATAGAAACAGCTAAGGTGTGACCGGATAAGATAGAGACAGGGCGGAGGAAAGATATGCCACACCTACGTCCATGGAAGTCTTAGGCTTAGGCTTACGAACAGCTATTTTTGCACACAGAGTGCAGGTTTGATCCAGCTGATCTCAACAGGTCCGGAAAAACGAAGGGAATGGGTGTCACGATGTCTCAACAAGACTGTTAACATTGTGGGAGGATCGAATGGATGACAAGTGGCCAACAAATGTCTATCTATGGATGAGGCATATGGCTTTCGCGAAAAGGTAGTGGTAGGCAAGACGGAAGAGTAGGCGGTTTCATGCTGCACCCACTTAGACACATACTCCCTCAATCTGGGGCTCAACACCTTATTGGCACGACTGATGTAGAATGCCCCGCAACCAATAGCGAATTGGCGAATGCTCCCGTAATGATAACGGAGAGCGGTTACTTCATTTGTGTGAAGATGTTCGATTATTTCTTGCGAGCATTAGTTTCCGGCACAGCAGCCACCGGAGGGTAACTCGGCGTCCACCAGCCTCAAACCAGCTATGGACACAAATCGATCACATTGCGTTAAGTTACCGATGGAGGCGCTGCGTCCAGAACTGTCGCTCGATTTGGAGCACATGTGTGGACACCGACCATGCACTTGTATGTGCTGACCTGCGGATGTGCTTTGGCGGACGCCCCCGACGACGTTGTGACCGCAGTGACACCAGACAACTGGCGAAGTCAGCTGATCTGAATGTCTATCCAAGTACGCTGTCATGCGAGTTGAGTAAGCGCTCACTGGATGTATCTGAAGCTCACTGGTCTCATATTCATCAGACCTTACTAGCAGCAGGCAAATCCTCATGTGGTAAGTCTAATCGACAACATGGACATTGGGTCTCCTCGCAGTCTCTGAAATTTAGCGATGCTCGCCGGCATATTCCTGGTGGAAACGAACACAATGAAACTCGCAAAGAGCTCCGGGCAAAACTCTGTGCCAGCCTGAAGAGAGACCGCGAATCCTGGTGGTCTCATCGTGTATCAGAGATGGAAATTGCCGCTGCCCTTGGTAACCATCGTGAGTTATTCCGTCTGATACGGCAAACTGGCAGCAGGAGACCCGGTGTTAGTGAAACTATACGTGACGAGAGTGGACAGCCTGTCCACAAGTTGTCATTATATATATATATATATATATATATATATATATATATATATATATATATATATATATATATATATATATATATATATATATATATATATATATATATATATATATATATATATATACTCTGTGGTACAGATATTGTGCCATCGGGATCATGGCTGAATAGGAAAACGGTATGAATAATAAGAAAAGAGTAACAACAAAAGATATTTTTTGTCTATTTTACCACTCACAGGTTTTGAAATTTTTTCCAGTTTGTTCTTTTTTAGGGGGAGAAGAAGGGACACTGCAACACACCGATGCACACGTCCGCCATTGACATCGATCTTGAGCCATGGCTTCCATGGTCTTCGACCAACAAGTATCCGCATCTCTCAAACCCCAACCAAGTAATCGACAAGAACTGGCCGAGGCCAACTGTTTCGTCAGCATTTTCATGCGGCTACTCCGTGTTGTACGCTGTCCACCAGACCGTCCCTTTCAGTCCTGTCCAACAACCGCAAACTACGCACGACATGGTAACGCTGGACGGGTATGCGCAATACGTGTCCAAACCATCGCAGTTGATGTAGTGTGACCAGCTCCTTGAGCGAGTGGCTTCCACGTCCCAAGGCACATTGTATGACTTGTCAAAACACTCGGAGCTTTGGGTGAGCATTTTGAAAGGCAATTGAATCGGTCAAAATGGTTAGATTTCTCACTGGCTACTGATCGCCCCGCTCCCTGGGCTATCCCTTTGGAGCCACTCTCCCGCTCAGAAGCCAAACGGGAGATCGGACTGTTGAAGTAAAACAAAGCCGTGGGATGAGATGATTTTCCTCCAACCCACTTCAAATTCGAGGGATCTGCTCTTGTGGATGATTTACACGAGTTACTAGTCAAACTGTGGGAGCAGCAAACTGGAACCACTCTGGCATAGTTCCAATTTTCAAGGGAGGTTCACGATCGGAATGCGGCAGCTATAGTGGAATCAGTCTGATCTCCATCGCCTCTAAATTACTTATCTCTGTCGTCGTTCACAGACTGACTGCCACCTGTGAAAGCCATATTCGTGAACGGCAAGCCGGGTTTCGTCGAGGTCGTGGCTGCATTGACCACATCTTCACTTTGCGTCAGTTGTTGGAGCACCGTCACATATATTGGCGGTTCACCGTTGTTGTGTCCCTCGATATCAAAGGTGCATTCGATTCAGTGAGCAGACGTGCACTTTGGGACTGTCTACTCAGGAAAGGTGGACCTGAGAAATATGTAAACATTATCTGAGCATCACACGCACGTAGCTCGGGCAGAATGAGGGCTCACGGCAAGCTGTCGTCGCTTTTTAATATTTCCAGCGGTGTGAGACAAGGATACTCGCTGTCCTCCTTCCTCTACAACTTCTCGATTGACGAAGCTATGGAAATCGCGTTCACAGGACACGACTTAGAAGTTGTGTTGTTCTGCTCCCGGGAGAACTACTGGTTGACTTGGAGTATGCTGAAGATATTGCAATAATCTGTGACAGCTCACAAACGTGCTATGCGGCACTGGACGGATTAGCACCAGCTGTCCGTCACTTCGGGCTTTGCTTTACACTCTCGAAGTGCAAAGCGTTCCTCCAATATTGGCTTGGGCTGTCTCCTAAGCTGACCCTTGATGGTAATCAGTCAGAAGTCGTTCAAAAATTCCACCACCTAGGAAGCTGGATCAGCGCCTGTGTGATTGAAGATGAGATCATGAAGCGTATAACAAACGCTGGAGGCACTTTTGTTAACCTTCACCACTTATGGCGCCTGCGCGACATAAATCTCGCCCTAAAAGGTAGAGTGCACAATGCAGCGATACGTTTGACCCTACTGTACGCTTATGAAACCTAGCCCCTTAGCTTAACGGACATAAAGAGGCTAGTTACGTTCGACCATCTGTGCCTTCGCAATTTAGCGCACATCTGGTGGGAACACTGCGTGAGCAACGAGCGTGTTCGGAGCCTTGTTTACAGCACAGGAAAAGGAAATGCACCGCTCAGCACCGTCATTTCACGCACCAGGCTCCGATGGCTCGGCCACCTGTTGCGCATGCCAGCCCACCGACTCCCGTGACGTGCGTTGTTTGCGCGCCGGGGTGTGGATGGAAGAATTTGAGGGGTGGCTAAGCGATGACTTGCTCGAGAGGAATGAAGGCCCTCACTTCGATGCTGGCCTCGGTTGGAGCGTCTCGGCTCCCTGGTTGGGGTCCGAAAGACGATGAACACGTTTGGTTGGACACAATTGCTGATATGGCTAGGAGCCGAACTCAGTGGCGTTCGTGCTGTGAGTTTCTTTATCCTACCACACCCCTCTTAGCCTCCCCCTCCAACCACGATCTTACTAGTTAGCCCTAGATAATTTTGCATAACAATTTTTTTGATGCACAGTAGCCGGCTGGTAGCTTACCGGAACGATGCACATCTGTTACCGGTAGCTCAGCTGAGTTGCACCTGTTGCATTTTATTCCCTTTTTTTCTTTTAGGTATTGCGGTATAGTAGCTGAGGTGTTTCCCGCCTCTAGCTAACGTGTATAATCATGATGATGAATGCAATGTGAACTGGTGACGAAAAGTTATCTTTCCTTCGTTGGTTCGGCTAATAAGGGCAGCTTCGGCAGCATACTAAATCCTATGTACAGCGGAAATTATGCGCTTGGTTGTTGTCATGGTGGTAAGATCTTCTTTAAACGGTAGTTATATAAAGCTTATGTTACTCGCCAGAGTGAGGACTTTCTATCTCGGCATGCTTGCATTGCTATGTTTCGTAATAAACTGGCGTGGATAATTCTCTAGCAAATGCGCATTAGTCGCAGTTTCTGTTCCTCCTGCAGGCAATTTGGTCTATATATATACTTCTCGCGCGGTTATACGAAGCCTTGACTAGTGTCCGCTTGTACTGCACTGGAGTGAAGCTGAGAAATTGAAAGTACTGAACAGACCATGATAATTATCGGTGAACACATCTCTTGATGAGATCGTTTTCTCTACAAATTGTCAGCACGACCAAAAAAGAAAAGAGCTGTTACATGCCATTTCGTCGGTCACTTTCAAATTGGCATGTAAATTGTTAAAATGTTTGACAAGACCTTTAATCTGTTCTCCTGATGAACAGAACACTTAGCGTTTATAGTAGGAAAGGCGGGTAAATTCAGCACTCATCTTTGTCTCCACCATTGGCAAGAAGAAATCCGCTTATCCCACACGTAATGGACTACCCGTTGCCACATCTAACTGACGATATGGAGTGTTTCGAAAGTGGAATCTGATAGTTTCAGTGCATAGTAACAGGTTGTCTTTCATAAGCTCAGTTGGTATTGGAACAGATCCGCTTGAATGTTCATCTAATTCACATACATAACCAATGGTCTAATGTAGTGGAATTTGACAATACCGGGCACGTTTGTGTTGTCAAGAGTTTCGATGAGTTCTAATGACTTATTTATACTGTGTAGAATAGCATGCTCCTATAATGGTGCGATAATCTCCACAGCTCATCGAGGAAGTTTGTGCTGCGGGGAATTTGCCATTAATAAACTTGGACTGAGGGGGTACCACTCTTATGGCATCGAGATAGGCTGACAGGACTTAGGCGCTTCATGATCAGACAGATAACATGTACCAACAACGGACATCTAATTGACTACAACAATCTACAACTACAGTAGAGCGATCAAGTGTGAGGACATGGTTAAATTCATCATTGAAGCATCTACCGCTATATCACGAAGTATTCTTTGGCTTCGGCCTTCCTGTGAGTTTAACAGTCTGAAAAGACGATGCGTGGTTGAGATCGGTTACTCTAGATTTCCTGCATTGGTTGCCTTTGGAATGAGTCCTGCATGAAAGCCGTAAATGATGTCGTGACAAAAAAAGAATACTGTAATAGTTTACAGCACAGTACACAAATATCACAGTATCTATATAATATTGGACATAAAATGTAAGATGACGCTGCCTTGCTGGAGTTACGGTCTATCGGTGAATTAACTGACTAAAACTAGCTGCTAAGGCAAGCCTACGATTAGATTATAGCTAAGAACCGCGGGAGTTGGCGGTGGTCCCCACGCCACTATGGTTAGACTATTAACTGAACAGGTTCCACTAGCCAGTCGAAACAGTGCCCCTCACTGCGTTGAATATGTGCGGAAGGCCACTGAGCAATATAGCATCTCTATGACTTAACTGCGTAGCGTTGATGCGCGGCACTGATATCAATTTCAGACCGCGTGTGTACACACCTGAATAACCAATCTTAGGTGTCAGGGATTCCAGTGCATTTGAAACGGTTGGGTTGTTTAGAGGGAGTTATTCGCAGGTAATCATCCGCTCGAGGAAACTTTAGGGTTCTCTTTCTCAGGATGAACTGCCACTCGTTCCTTAACAGCATACAACATTTTCTTATAGATGCAGTTAGGCATACTTGCTGACAATGAATGTGTGTTTTGGCTCCGAGATGCCAAATGTGCAAATGATATAAGCATACTAACCAGAGAATGGATTGCATGTGTTCAGAAAGATGGGGCTTCATTCAAAAGTGCGCCGCCCGCTAGGCTGCCAGTTGATTCCAAGGTATGCTTGACCATTGCTCAGCTGATCCGAGGGAGATCTTATGGTATCTCCACCACCCGCCACAAGCTTGGATGCATCCACCTGAGCTTGACATCCAAGTTCAAGCATGGGGGTCGGTTTGTCCCCCTGGGCACTGGACCTCGCGAAGGACGCAGAGTACACTTGTTCATCCGACGGCTTGTTGGTTACTTCACCCTCGCGACCATCTCCCAAATTCGAGTACGTCGGACAATTTGTGAGAGACGGAAGGATACCAAATTTGCCGAACAGACCCTCGTTGGCATAATATTCGTGAAATGTCCGGGCCAAATTCCTGCCTAACCTAGCATCTAAAGCAACCAGCGGTTAGGGAAACAGCAGTTGTGGTTTACCACCTATCACGTAAGCGCATGACAGCTTGTGAGTGGAGGGGGGGGGGAAGAACGCGATGTAGTCAAAAACAACTTGACTATTGGTACAATACGAAGACAGCAAGTTAGTTGAACAAAGTCCGTACGTAGAGGGGGCTGCTGTGTATGCGTAATGCATGCGTGGGTGCTGGTTTAGTTAGACACGTACACACAACTCCAGACACACACACATACCTACATGCTTAGCCACTTTCCTCTTGGTTCCTTCTTCCACTTGCCTCAACTCATGTACTCAAGTTGTTAGATACCTTTCGAATTACAGTGGTTTGTTTACCAAAGCTCGTGCTTGTGACCTCTCGTACGTAACACTAATGTCGCGGCCTACGAACTTACGCCATAGAAGTACATCCACCTACACTTCAGTGGTCTGATCCTACCTTAAGCCTTGCCGAAAGTGTATGGGCCTAGTGGAAAACATCATTTACCAACTATCTTAAACTAATAGTTTTACCTCTAACTACACAGAATGACAGAAACAGAAGCTTCTCAGACCCCCATTCGGTGATGAGGGACAACGTCAATTTGATGCTTTGAAGCTCCAGTCTCAAGATACCTTAACGGAAGCCCTAAATATGCTGGATGTTGTAGCTCCTAGCGCAAGTTCCAGTCATGTCTATCACGCACCGCAGTCTGCAAGTGAATGGTTGAGTGTTATCGAGGGATCAATATCAAGGTCATTACGCATGTGTCTTACCTGACTCACTTTGGTGAATAGATTGTTCAGAACGTGTCCACCCCTTGTTCTGTTTTCCTTGGTGGGTTCCGCGTGGATTGATAAAAGACCCTGCATGCGCAAGAGCCTAGTGTGCACCTTGGGACACTACACTGGATAAGTCATAGGCCCAGCGTACAATCTTCTTCATGGTTCGACTCAAATGTGGCCGACTTACAAAGAAACCATTGGAAACTTTAGACAGTTTTGTTGATCATCCCATTCACGGTGTACGACCCTGCGATTATTCAACCATACAGATAAATAGAATCGAGGGCGTCATGCCAGTGCAACAGTTGATTAGTGGAATCACAAATAAGCGGATTCGGGAATGCCTACTTTTCAAAGACGTTATTAAATGTACTTGGGACAATGCTGTGGAATTAGCTCGCCACAAAACAAGTACTGCCGAACAGTTGCGATGTTTCCCTACCCAAACAAGCATACAGGAGGTTGCCAAGCTCCCATCGCTTGTCGTTCGAATCCCAATCCCCACAGAAATGCTTCCGCTGCGGCAGCCTACAGCATAAAGCCAATATTGCCAAGTGCCATACCTTAGAAATGGATGGCAACAAGTGCGTTAAACTTGGACGTTTTGTCCGTTATTGTCATTCAGTAAGCATTTCTCATTTGCATCCTGCCGATTTCGTTTCTAGTCAGCAGTTACAGTCATCCGAAATTGTATTTTTCATTGATAACAGAGGTATCGATTTTCACCTTAGTTTCACTTGTCCAGAGCCTAAACACCCTACGCCTGACATTGGTACTGTTACAGTCATTGCACCCGATAGAATCCATTTCCATGCTGACCTTCAACAGCGTATTGTGATTTCTATCAACCTTGTAAATGTGATTGCCAGATGCGATTTTCTGAAAAGAGTTCTCTTAGTAACTGTGTCGTCTGTTTTTCATGGGAATTATCCACAAACTGAAAAAAGAGTAAGCAAGCCTCAGGGTTTGTAGGCTTCAACAAGTGTTTGAAGTTTAACGCTTAGCTTGCAGAAGCAAAAACGATTAGATTTATAAAAGAATGCGTGCAACGCAATCAGTATACAAAGACCTATTGGAAGTCTCTCAGGCGGTGTCATGTGTACCCATCTAAAAGGTCTCATAAACGGCATGCGTACAATTTGATGGAATCTATGCAGTCCCGATTACCAGAGCTGGAGCGACTGTGCGCATTCTACCAACCTATTATCTAGGAGCACTTAATGCATCTTTCTCTACACTGTACGAGCAGCAATAAAAGATCGTCCAATATCTTGTCTAAGAAACATAGAGGCGATCAAAAAAAATTACGATCGAATCGTAACCTTCCTCTCTCTAGACTGGACAAGGACTGGGATGGGTACTGATGGACAAATTCGAGTACATAACGAAGCTGCACGGTATTTTGTAAGACTCGAGTAAATTCTTGCATCAGACAATCCAGAAGAACAAAACCGCGGAAAATGAGAAAACTTGCACTGTCTTAAAACAATTAAGGCAGATGAACGTGATAAACAACCTGTTACTTGAATATCTAAATCCTATCGACTCTCATCGTATCAGACTTTATGGGCTATCAGCATCATCATCATTACACGTTAGCTGGAGGTGGAAAACACCTCAGCTATTGTGTTGCAATACAAAAGACAAAAAAAGGAAAACAGTGGCAAACACTGGCGCGCCCGCTGAGTCTCCAGTAACGGATGGACATCGTACCGGAGAGCTAACAGCTTGCTGCCGTAAAAGAAACTCGTATTATGCCTAACAAGTGAGATCGTGATTGGAGGAGGATACCAAACGGGAGGGGGATGGGCAAAGGAAATCACAACACAAACGCCATTGGTGCCGGCTCCTAGCCATATCAGAAAGTGTGTCCAACCAAACGTGTTCACCGTCCTTAGGACCCAAGCCAGGCAATCGGGATGCACCAACCGACGCCAACTTCGAAGTGAGGGTTCTCATTTCTCTCGACCAAGTCATCACATGGCCTCCCCTCTTTCTCTTCCAACCGTATCCACAACGAGCAAACAATGCACGTCGCAGGAGTCGGTGTGCTGGCATGCACAACACGTGGCCCAGCCATCGGAGCCTGATGCGTGATATAATGGTGCTGAGCGGTTCATTCGCCCTTCCTGCACCAAATACGCGACGTCGAACACGCTCATTGCTCACGCGGTGTTCCCACCAGACATGAGCTAAGCTGCGATGATCGAATGTGACGAGTCTCTTTATGTCTGTCGACATGATGGGCCAGGTTTCACAACCATATAGGAGAGTCGAACGGACGGCTGCGTTGCAAACTCTGCCCTTCAGGGCGAGAGTAATGCCGCGTCTGCGCCACAGGTGGCGGAGATTGGCAAAAACACCTCGAGCTTTTGCTATACGGTTCGTAACCTCATCTTCAAATCCCACGGGTGCTGCCCAGGTACTTAAATTCCTGAACGACTTCTAGCAGATCACCACCAAGCGTAAGCGCAGGGTTGGGTCCCTGCCAATCTTGGAGAAATACTTTGCATTTCGATGGAGCAAAGCATAGCCCAAAACGACTGACAGCCAGTGCTAATCGGTTCAGTGCTGCTTGGCATGTTTGGGAGCTGTAACATATTAGGGCAATGTCATCCGCATACTCCAAGTCAAGAAGTCGCTCACCAGGGAGTAGCTCGCCACCTTCTATGTCGTGTCCAGCGAACGCTGTTTCTATGAATTCATCAATAGCGAAGTTGAAGAGGAAAGGTGACAGCGGGCATCCTTGTCTCACACCGCTGGTGATATTGAGGGTGGTGAGAGTTTGCCGTAAACCCTCACCCTGCCCGAACTATGCGCGTACAGCGCTTTGATAATGTTTACATATTTATCAGGCACACCTTTCCTCAACAGAGAGTCTCAAAGGGCACATCGATCGACTGAGTCGAAGGCAGCTTTTATGGCAAGAAACACGACAACGGTGGGTCGCCAATAAACATGGCGGTGCTCCAACACTTGCCGCAAGGTGAAGATGTGGTCGATGCAGCACCGACCTCGACGAAATCCTTCTTGCTCTTCACGAATCTAGCTTTCACGAGTGCCAGTCAGTCTGTGGAAAATGACAAACGCAAGCAATGTAGAGGCAACTGAAATCAGACTGATGCCTCTATGAATACTGCATTCCGAACAGGAGCCTCCCTTGAATATTGGGACAATGGCGGAGCGGCTCCGGTCTGTCGGGACAGCCTCCTGCTCCCAAACTTTCACTAGAAACACGTGTAAATCATCTACTAGAGCAGGTTTCCCTAAAATTGAAGAGGGCTGGGAGAATTCTATCTTCTCCTGCGGCCTTATGTAATTGCAACAGCCTGATCTCACGTTCGACTTTTGCGCGTGAGGGCGGATCCAAGGAGACGGCCCAAGGAGACGGGTACTCAATGCCTGAAGAAGAAAGCGATAACTCAGGTTGGTTAAATTGCCTTGCAAAGTGTTCAGCCAAACGCACCAAACGTTTTGACAATCTGTGGATCGGCTGCCCACTCTCCTCGCGTACGGTCTCTTTAACACCAGGTCTCCTGCTGCCTGTTTCCCGTATCAGACGGAATAACTTACGATGATTACCAACGGCAGCGGCTGTTTCCATTTCCGATGCACGATGAGACCACCAGATTTCGCGGTCCTTCTTCAGACTAGCACGTAGTTTTGCCCTGAGATTTTTGCGAGCCTCACTGTATTCGCTTCCAGCCGGAATACGTCGGCGAGCATCCATAAGTTCCAGAGACTGTGTAGAGACCCAATGTCCGGTTTGGCAATTTGCGTTGCCACATGAAGACATACCTACTAACAGTAACGTTTGACGAATATGCGACCAGTGATCTTCAACGGTGTTCAGTGGGCGCTTACTCAGCCCAGATGTCAGCGCACTTTGGTACACATTCAGAACATCTGGCTTCGCCAGCTGGCTGGTGTCAATCCGTTCACATCGACGTTGCGGACGTCCACCGAAACACACCAGGAGGTCGGCACAGACAAGTGCGTGGTCAGAGTCAACGCTCGTGATCCAAATCGAGCGACAATTTTGGACACAGCCTCTCCAGCGATAACTGATCGCGATATGATCGATTTGCGTCCATGGCTGGCCTGAGGCTGCTGGCCGCCAAGTCACACTTCTGCGGGTGCTGTGTCGAAAATTAGTGCTCGCGAGAAAGAGGCGAGCATCTTCACACAGCTGTAGCAATCGCTCACCATTATCATT